GAGAACTCAAAACGAAATTAACATAAACACCAATCAATTAACACCATCACCAAAACCAAACAATGTAAAATATAAACAATCAAATAGTACTGGCTTTCGCCGTTCTGGCTCTGGCGCTACGATCTCTCTTTCGTTTGACATGGCGGTATTTTCAAATCATCCCACCCGATTTATAAAATAACTCACTCTGAACAATCTATATAACCTCTATGTATTACGGTGAAGTTATAAAAATTATGAAATTGAAAATATTCTATTAGCCTGAATCAATATGATCATACCTATATTTCTTATTAAAAGTTTAACGCATATTATGAGAATAGAACCATAACTAGGTGTGGAATTCAGGAATTCTGAGAGTGGAGAACGTTCAGATATGACACACTAAAAGTCATTATGATTAATACTTATTATAATATACCAAATATCATTATTGCTTATTTGTATTATTATGATGTCTTTAAGACGTATTCAGGACGTGAGAATCAGATATCTTTAAAACGTCTGAATGATGACATCTTGTAGACGTCTTATTCAGGGAGTAAGACGTACAGACTAAGATAGGATATAATTCAGACATCTTAAAGACGTCTTGTGCTATCTGGGTAAGATATCTTCTGATGGATATCCGCTATAAATCCATGGGTGAATATCTCATGGATGTCCATCTGAAGACCACAAAAAAGTAAATATATGAGAGCTATTTTCGAGTGATTGTATATTTTTGTACGAGAACATTGAACAACAGAGAAAAATGCCAAACTGTAGTGTTGTTATTTATATGAATTCATATTTGCATCGGATATCTTAATTGTGGCTATAAACATATATTATACCTACATAACAATAGTTATATGATGGAAAACTACCTTTGAATTTCTAATAAACATGTGATTTGCCTGTGATATTTGTGATGATTCGTATTGTTTTGAACCATTCTCAATTAACAATTTTCGTTCGCTAAACGAACATCTTATGGACGTCCATAGGTGATCCGCATCAGAATATCCATTTGATATCCTCTGACGGATATCCTATGGATATTCATTTCATGTCCCAGGATATCCCGACCTGAAATGGACTTGAGAAGGATATCCATAGGATATCCTGTGTTATCTGGGTGTAGACCTGTTTTTATCAACTTGAGGGATTTAGCTATTCATGGAATAAATATGTTGGATTCAATCCCATAAATTCATAGAAATTAAAACGATTATTCACGGAATAGTGATATTCATGCCCATGACACAAGATCCCTAACAACACCAGTACATCCTAGGGACTTCCCAGGGACGTCCCTAATTTCGAATAAGGACATCCCAGGGATATCTTTTCTGGGACAAAGTACATACTAGGGACGTCCCAGGGACATCCGCTTTCAGACAAAAAGGACATCCAAGGGATGTCCCTCCTGGTACGTCCCTGGGATGTACCGAGTACAAAGAAGGGACATCCCTAGGACGTCCCAAGGATATCCCAGGGACATCCCTTCGACAAAAGAAAAAAAAGTAGGTCTAGTTGGGATTGAACCCGGGACCTTCAGCTGATCAGGCACGCACCTTACTCCATTGGCCAATATGCCTTCTGAAGATTCATGTATTGAACAGATTTATAAACAGGACAACTACAGAAACCTGGACAAATAAAACTGTTAGGATTCGGGTATAATTATTATCATTCTTGGGTGTTTGAAAATGAGGGGCATTATGCATTTACGATCTCTGTTTGCGAAAAATGGTCATTTCTTGAGAAGTTTTGAGACTATATTCTTTATTTTCATCACAATTATTTTCCGGAAGAAATACATTTTCGAAAAAATTCGACTCAATATTTTGATGATATTGAATGACTCTCTGATGTGAAGAATGGATATCAGATAAACCTAGGGATGTACCGGGTGGGATGTCCACTGGACAACTACTGGCGGGACATCCCCTGGATGTCCCAATCATTTCCTTGTACCGCGGGACATAAAAGGGACGCACCTAGGACATCCCTGTGTTGTTAGGGATATGAATAAAACTTCTCTATACATCACCAGCGAATAGAAATCTGTAAGAATTCACCAATAGTAATGGGATTTGAACTATACAACAGTCTCTCACAATGTTTCAAAGATATTGCCTTGGTGCATGAATTCGTTGAATTGTGTCCAAACTGCTATATATACTTTATTGATCAGAATTTTTGATGTACCTGTATGTTTCTAGTTTTGCATTATGTTATTGTATATTGTATTTGTTGACCTATATAATTGGCCACTTTTTAATACTTCATGGTATTTGCTCTAGTTTCGGCTAGCCTTTTCACTTTTCATTTGTTCATTTTGACCTGTTCTATGTCATTATATGATATTATGAGATCAATAAAGTCTATCCTATCCTACCAATTTCAATACAGTTTATTCTTCTACTCAAATACTAGGTACTCAAATGGATTGATCCTGGTGAGCGGATGATTCCTAGGGGTTGTCTGTGAGCGTATGCAGGTATAGTTTATGCAAAGTCAATTGGAAAAACACATCACCGCAAGTCGTCGGTCCCTTTGAAAGTTCAAATAGTGCGGCAGCGCGGCTCGACTATCGTTTGATGATCTGTTCAACTGACTTTGGATAAACTATAGCCTGCAAGATAATCGAAAGATGGTGTGACGAAGCGGGGCTCTCTGTCATTCCGACAAAAACAGAGATGATCCTATTCACCACACTGGAAAAAAAAAGATGGTAGTTATTACCAAACCTTTAGTAAAATAGGCGCCAGTCACAACTTTCATCAAATGATACCACTACAACATTATATAATACTAAACTATGAGTATTATACTATTTTGTATGCACATGTTGGCCTACTCACCTTGCTACAGCCTCCCCACAATAATACACTACTCTATGTTTGGGAAACAGTTTCGTCGAAACTACTTGTCTGATTTGGACGTTGTTTGTTCTGAATGACATGTGAATCTCCTTCTGAATATTGGCGTGGAGACTGTATTCGCATGAGAACCTTTCTTCTAAGAATACCGGGTGTAGCAATTATAGCGTGTCATTCTCATGAAATTTGTAATACCAAATAAAATTTAACGTTGTCGAGTTGAAATTGCAAGTACACTTCAGCCTTATCTCTTTACAACATTACTTCTCTGATTCCACTCCATTATCTTTCCTCAACACAATTTTATAGCATAACATAATTTCATCGAATTTATTTGGAATTATAAGTACGTAAGTAGCGGACTATGATCTGGGGAGGCCTTTATTTGAATGGTCGCATGGAACTTGTGATCATAAATGGGTGCCTTACCACTGAAAGGTACATATTGGTGATTTCAGAACCACATATGTAGGGTGATTCAAAATTTGATGTAAATATTTCAAGGACGTATGGTTTTGATCGAAATGAGACTTTTTCTTCATATCAACATGTGTCCTAAAGTTCACCCCCTGTAAGCTACAGCCACTGTAACTTAGGTAATGAAAAGAGATATTTTGGAACTCTGACTGGAATAACAAATCCATTCTTCTGAAATTTGGCAGGCTCCTGTCCTTTTAGACTCTTTATTTCATGATCATGCTGGCAATTTTCCTCCTAATAAATTGTTGGACCTATTCCGAGGAAAACCAAAAGATGCGCTGATTGTGCTTGTCGAGTACGTCTGACTGGTATTGCTAGTGATAGAGTGAAAGGAGAGATTTCTAAAGAACATTTATCGTGGATGTATACGCATGAATCCGAGTCTATGTGAAGCAGTTTTCACTATGAATTCGACTAGATTTTTCAATGAAAGAGTATTGCTGATGAAAATATCAAGCAAAAATATAGTGGACTTCACAGGAATGGTCGTACCAGACATGGATATATCAGGCATACTGAGTTCCGCTCCTCTATATGATAATTCATTTTTGAGTTTTGGTGGCGTTGAATTCAACTAGGTTGTTGGTTTCCCAGGCTGTTATTTCAGCAAAATCTCCATTGAAAGTGTTGACCTGCCTTGGTCGTGAGTTCTGAGTTTCCTGGTGAGAAATGGGAATTCTGGAAGAAAACTCATTATGAAGAGTACCTACTGCGAAGCTGTGGATAGAATAAGTGGATACTCCCAACGAAATCTACATTGGCAATTAATAAATATTGTATGATATCGAATGGCATTAAAATAATTACAGGGTTCCATTCCAAATTCTCAACCTAGGTTCTTCTCCTGTAAAATCTGGAGTTATATCTTCTTCTTCTCTGCACAGGTGGGCGGGTGCGTAGTCCCCTGCACTCAGGCCTCTTCAGTCGGGCCCATTGTGCGCCCACTTGTCCTGTGAATCAGCTGGGCATGCCGATTTCTTCGACGAAATTCAGCAGCTTCCTCAGCTGAGTCTTTTTCACATCCTTTGGGTGCAGTACAATGCTCCCAAAGGCAGCTTTCCTCTGATGCACCAGCGCGGGGCATTCAGTGAGTATGTGTGATGATGTTTCATCATCCCCCAAGCACCATCTGCAGATGGGATCATCTTCGATCCCTATGAGTTCTAGGTGCCTGTTGAGGTGGTTGTGCCCAGTTAAGAGCCACACTACCATCTTGAGATCCCTTCTATTAAGTGACAGGATCTCTCTCGTGAGCGTTTTTGAAGGTTCCTTTATATGGAGCATTGATTGTGTCATTCCTAGTGTGTCCCGCCATGTTTCAAGGAACTGCCTCTGTAGCATTTTCTCCATGAAGGACATAGCCCTACTATTGGGTATTCCCAATATCGGTTCTGGTCCAATGGGTGTCGTTCCTGAACCGATCTTGGCTAGTCTGTCTGCCTCCTCTTTCCTCGGGATACCAGAGTGTCCTGGAGTTATAGATAATCGCTTTTTTATGGAAAATATGGGTTTAAGAAACAATGTATTCCTTGCATATTTCATAAATATCTGACATAAAAAGAACGACGCTCTAGCTAATCATTTCGTTGTTACCCAGTATAATGAATCTTCACTGACAACGTTTATTTTAATATGTGTATAGGTATTCACCTTGGTGTGAGTTCATCAATCGAACTGGCATTAGGAAAAAATCCAGAAGGTTCCTCCTCCACCAATTCTCCTCCATCTGCATAAAGCCCAGAATCTCTCATTTCAAGGCCATTACACGTCCTCACCATGACACGGTGGCTGAAAAATGATACTATTGTTATTTTTGTCTGAATTTGTCCAGAAATCATCAAGCAATCTTGTGTTGTTTTTCTAGTGAACATTCTTGTGTGACAATTGTCATTTAGTTCGAATATAGATATTTACGATACGAGTATCGTGAAGATTCATGTCACGATATGAATGCACGATACGAATATAGTACAATTTTGTTGAAAAAATATTTCTGAGGAATACTATCCCGTGTTGTTCAATTTTACACTTGTTGCATAAATAACTATTTTCATTTTGATATATCTCTTTCGAAGATGTTTATTACGAAACTGTCGGTTTCTATGAATGAATCATCCAAAAATAAGTATTTGTGATGGCTCATAGCATTTGGATATAATATATGGAAAAACGAAATAACAAATCCAGGTCCGTATTTTGAACAATTATATTGTTTATGGGGACTGGAAGACGAAACGTCGGATTTCAAATTCCCAAACGCCAACTTGTAGAGAAGGAGAAGTGACCATAATAAGTTGTCATTCATTCAGATCAATTTTTTCAAATAACTTGAAAAAAATATAGAACATGTTATAGGAGATTTCGGTTGTTTTCGTATATCTCCGAAAGTATTCGGAGTTTTTCAAATTTCCAAACGGCATTTTGTTTTAGTCATGATATTGCAAACTTTGCCATGATGATTAACACGTTCGAATTGTCATTCACTTCATTATTGTAAGTGCCACTTATTGATGACCTCGAAGTTAATTCGAACAAGTATGTAATGTGTCGTACTCTTTGATAACGCCACCAAACCGGTGTGCTTTAATTCAGTAAAAGACTGCATATTATGACGACTATACAGTGTGGTCATTCAAGTGTGCAACAAACGGAAATCTTTTTAATGAATTGCACAACCAAAATACAGATAGTGCCGAAAGTTGTTGCATGTTCGGTAATCAGTTCAGGTGCACTTGGAATGGTTGCAAGTCACACAGCATACAGGGTAGGTCAAAAAATATAAAAATTGCTCAGGTGTAAAGTACCCTTATTTCAGAAAATTCAGCAAAATGTTACCGAGAAAAGTTTTTTACAATTGAAAGTTATGCCTACATACCAAAACATGGCCTCCTAAGACATTTATTAGTGTCTCAATTTTGTTCGTTAATAATTTCCCAATTTGTATTATATATTTTGAATACAAAATGTTCACATTGAATGGAAGTTTCTGAATATGCATATCATCATCAATCATGTTTTACCTTGTTGAAAATATGGTTTGCGAAATTTTGAAGATGAGCTGAATATCGTTGCAACAAACATAAAGTTTGTGATTCCCTAAAAAAATTAAAATCCAAGTTAATTGCACGAATATGCTTGAGTTTGAACAGAGGTATGCTCAACTGATTTTGTTATCATTAACTTATGAAAGTATTCAGGGTGAATATAAAAAAAAATACAAATTGGGAAATTATTCACGAACAAAATTGAAAAAATATCTCAGGAGGCCATGTTTTGGTATTTAGGCATAATTTTCAATTGTAAAAATCTTTTCTTATTAACATTTTGCTGAATTTCCTGAAATAAAGGTACTTTACTCGAGAGAAATTTTCATATTTTTTGACCTACCCTGTACCAACTTTCGGCACTATCTGTATTTTGCTTGTGTAATTCATCAAAAAGATTTCCATATGTTGCATAGTTAAATGACCACACTGTATATGTTGCAGATATGCAACAGGGTGCATTGTAGGTTCAATATATCTTGAATTAATGATTTATCAGGAATATGTATCAAGCAAGCGTTGCAAGGGTTGGCGTATATACAGGATGGCATGGATGAAATAAGTGCAAATATTCCAAACCCTGAGAAAGCTCGACGTATATCAACTGGCCCCAATAAAATGAAAGAAATCAGAATAGAATTTGGGGTTAGACCCCTTTTATCCACCCAAAGCTCTACACTGCAGCAATTCCAACGCCACCTTTGATCAAATTTTGTTGCATAAGGCACAATTACGCAGAGTTCAATCATTTAAATTGTTTTGAAGTGGCGCACTTGATTTTTTTCATGTTTTTTGTTGAATTTCTGGTATGAAATTTACCGCTGATTAAAAGGATATCGATGTGCTTATTATATGTACTTATTTCAAAAACACCTTGTATTCTTGTCGTGAATCTATTGTTTCTCGGTTGTCATTTATTTTCTGAACTGTCAACTTTGACGCGTTCATTTCAATTAAAAAAAAAAATATCGTCAAGAATTCCGTTCACGAAATTAAAGATTTTGATATAGCAATTGTGGAAAATCAGATAATTCAAATTTTTTTACCTGCTATATTAATGATCAGTTAGTTCCTATTTTTTTCTCTGAGTAAAACACTGGAAATTAAAATTATCATCTCACTTTAATGCACTAGTGCAGTAAATTAACATTGTACAGCACTTGTGCGGTGAAGTAACACTTAACAGCACTAGTGCGGTAAAGTATCCCATCACGAAACCAAAATCAGTGTCGTAATGTTTCACATTAAATATTGTGATACTATATTATTTAACGAGCACGGAATCACTATATTGTTAGACAAGCACGAAATTTATCACAAGAAAGATGTTTGCAGCATGACCCGTGAGCGATTGCTGTTATCATTCGAGTGGGAAATAAGCATTCCGTGCGAGTTATACACTATCATTTTTCTACGGCTGTAGCGGCATTTTTTATTTCTTCGGCTTGTAGCCATCTGATTCCCTCTCAAATGATGCTCATCTATTATACAGAGCTGCCATTGCGCGAAATTTGACATTCCATGAGCGATGAGATTTTTTTGAAACAATAACACAATGGAGTCACTGCGATATCAGTGGAAATAAAATTGATGACATACAAAGTATCTTTTTATTTTTCGAACACTAGTAAAACAAAACAAAAACGATGTTGTGGTACAGCCGTAGAAAATCATAGTTTACCTTCTACTGTCGAGTTGATAGTGTGGTCTTCGCATTACCAGGAGCCTCGGAAGAATGTGGATGAATACGCGTCTCACCCACGGGGCCATCACGTGGGTCTGGGGGGACCGAAAGTGGACGTTTAGTACCACTACGGTAACACATATACTAGAAATATAACGGTGAATCAATATAGTTGATTCATTTACTACGATAAGTATTAGAATTGATGGAATTGATTTACAGAGCGTTTCAGAAAATGTGGGCAATGAGGGAGATTTTCGAAATTCAAAGAGCGTCTGTGTTTCAGAAAATATTGTTTTCTCTTGAAATTTTACAGTGGCTGAATTTGTCATGCCTCATACAAGGTGAGTCATAACTATTGAGACATAAGCTAAGGGCGGATTTGCCTCCATGAAATATTGAAATATTGGGAAGAGATACGGGGCTTTTTTTGACTTGACTTTTTTTGACAAGAATCTTTAGTAATTTGGATTACAAAATATCACTGTCATATCATTTCTGGGTAATATTTATACTCTTGTTTGAATACGATATTTTCACCCGTTTTAGAGAAAATCGCAAAAGTTCAAAATCTCGGAAGGGGATTTCAAATATTATTACCTTTTTAAAGAATGTGCTTCGAATAACTGTTGCTGTTAAATTACATTTCTTGTCAGTGAATAAATTTTGGTGCGAGTACATAGTAGATACTTCCTCGATCGAAACGCCCTGTACCTTTTTCCAAAGCAATATTTTATTAAGGCATATTTGATCCTATCGCCAAGTGTCCAAACTAATTTGGAATGTCATTCAAGGGAGTCTCTAACAGGGTGAAATTGGCGTAGATATCAATCTTTATTGTATAATTCATGATATATCAAATGATTTAGTTTCATCAACTTATTAAACCTCTTCACTGAGAAAAAGTATTCAGGTTTCATTCATCTAAGTGCACCATCATGATGGAAAATTATCATCGTTAAGAAGAACATTCCAATATTTCGATATTTTTCCAAAACTGTTCTCCATAGTTGTCCAAATTTTCGGAGACACCCTGTATATACAGAGTGACCCATTTGAAAGCGGGCCACCCTTATAATTTTTTTCATTTATGGAGCATTTGTCACGATATTTTTGTCGTCCGCCGAAATAGATCTGTATCAAGTTTCATGAAAAGATATTCAACTTCAACGATTATGTTGTTACCTGGGAATAATGAAGTTCTATGGAGGGTTTCAAATAAACACGCACATCTGAAAAGTATTTTTGCGATAATAAATACTATTTACCAGGATACGGTTTTCTGCCTACAGGAGCTATTGGACGTTCCAAAATTTGCTGGTAATTTGAATTCACTGTTTTTCCGAGGCTTCAAATATAAAGAATTAGGCCACTCCGGTTGATTTGGAATATTATTGATATTGATGGTTATTCATATATACAGGTCCAAATTTGGTACGAATCGCATGACTAATAGGTGAGAAATAAAGGGGGCCGTTTGAAATGAGACAGGCTGTGGAATCGTTAATGTTGAATATTTTTTCATCAAACTTGGTGCAGATCTATTTCAGACGACGCTCATTACAGTAGCGTAGGTACGCGACTTTGATTCTGGATTTTTGAGCCTCTGAATGTGATCAAATAGACCTTGGTTTTTGGTTTTGAAAAGAAAAGGAAACCGCTATGCTTGAAAATAAACATTTCCTCCATCTCAATTTAAAAAAAAAAGTGAAAATCACTCCATAAATAAAAAATATATGAGGGTGGAACGCTTCCAAATGGGTCACTCTGCATAAGTATATTTACCTGAATGTGTCTAAAATCATTGTAAAAAGTACAAATTTGCCAAGCAAAGGCACCACAAGCGAAGTGGGGGGGATGATCTCGGCAAGTAGCAGGAAAAATACAGTCAGCGATAGGAGAATGGAGATGGATAAACTCACCTGAAAATTTCAATATCTCGCAGTAGTTGTCGACTAAATGGTTTTGTGTTTCTTCTATAATTGATATACGGGATGTTTCTGAAATTGAAGCGATAAATACAGAGAAGATGAATAATTAACACAACGAAATAAAGAATACATTCTTCTAGAAACTATAAATCATTGCTTGAGAAGCACCTGACGTACCTACCAATGGCTATTACAATATTGCCACCAGACGTTCACTTATAAACGCTAAGGAGAACCCTAACATTTGTCGAAAATTTGTGATTGCCTCAAATATTTTTTTGCGATTTTTGTGTCCTTTTGTCCCATACAATAACCAATTTCATTTATCGCTCCGATTTCGGAAACATCTCATATATAATATACAGGGTGTCCACGTGTAATTCAAGTCAAAATAAGTTGATTAGACCCATTTTATTTATATGACGGAATGTACTGTTGAGAAACTGAGAAAAATAAATTGGATGAAATTTGATCGACGAATCTATATTTCAGAAGATTACCCTCCTTTCAGTAATCAAAGAAACCCAGATGAACTTGTAGAAGGGTCGAAACCACCCACGGTTCTCAAATTTCCTGAGCGAGGTGACTGATATATTATCTTCATTTTGTCAACCCTGTCAGAATTTTGTATTATGCATACTTTCGAAGGTAAAAAATCTTTTTTTAATAATGCTAACAGATATTCCTAGTAATAGTTAGATATCATTATAATGAAAAATTTTGTTGAAAGTGGAAACAGAGGCAGAATCAAATTTTCACTTGGAATATCTGTTAGCATTGTTTCACACAACCTCAAGCGATGTTCTGAAGAAAATTGTCAGGGGGTGAGGGTGATTTCAACCCTTCTGCAAAGTCTTTCACGTTTCTTTGATTACTGAAAGGAGGATTATCTTCTGTAATGCATTTTTGTCGAATTTCATTCAATTTGTTTCACTTGTTTTTGCGCACAGAAATATGTTTTTTTATGAGGAGTTTCAACCCATCTCACGGACAAACGGTACATTTTTTATGTAAATATTCATAGTTGAATCCTTGAACTGTATTACATGTGGTAGCTCTGTGTTCTATCAATTTTGAGACACCCTGTATACAGTTTCATTTTGAAAAAAATATATTTTCGTGGCAGTTTAATGATCCCTATATCTGGAAATAACTGATAGCAGTTAGTTATTTGGGTTTCAAAGGAATAAGAATAAAATTGGGTGTTATATTTATTTCAATGTTCCATTTCCATAAAGTTTGTGAACCTCTCAAGTATACAATATTGGATACACCTCATAAAATTCGTTTGATAGTCACCGATTCCTAACGATTTTTTATATTGAAAATCACGATTTTTCATCTCATTTCGTTTTATATAGCTGCCGTGTCATAAAAAAATCAGCAGTTTCACCAGAAATTGCCAATTAATCACGAATTTTATCGACCAATGCCACGAATAGTTGATGGAAATGGGAATTGCTGGTAATATCGATTAAACAATAATCAGGGTGTTAAGCAAGGCATAATCACATACATTTACGCCTTACCGCAATATCATTAATATTGCCATTTCACGACATCGATGGACGATGTTCACATTAATGAAGAATAAAAATGAATGAAGATTCGGAAACAACTTGAGCTTCGAGATTATTTCATTATATTCTGTCTGTAGGTTAATCGAGGAGGTGGTATATTAATTTTACTTGATTTTTTGGGATTTTTTCTCCTCGTTTCTATAAAATAAAAATATGCGAAACATTTCAATATATTTGTAGTGGCCAAATCAGATGACTTGCCCCAAAATGTCACTGCGTTTAACAAATTTTCCTATCAGGGAGCCTAAAAAAAACCAGTAGCTTGTCAGTGTCAATTTGTTTGAAAAAATGTTTGAAGGTGTTATATTATGGTCATAATATAATAAACACGAGCACAAATGACATGGACAAGGGTTACACTTGCTCACTACTCGACGGCCTGTCGAATACTATAGGCTTGTTCGAATTCATAATATTAACAGTCCGAAATCATCAGGAGCATGCGCAGTTTCACAGAACAGTACGCATTTTTCAAGTTCCGTGAAACTGCGCATGCTTCTGATGGTTTTGGACTGTTTATTTTTCGAACGCAAACAAACCTAATATGAACCAGTCTTCACACACGTCTGTCATAGGCTCTGATCTAAGCACATTCCACTGAGCAGTGGCGCATCTAGTTGCTAGATGCTAACAGTCATAATATAATAAACACGAGCACAAATGACATGGTAAAGGGTTACACTTGCTCACTACTCGACTGCCTGTCGAATACTATATGAACCAGTCTTCACACACGTCTGTCATAGGCTCTGATCTGAGCACATTTCACTGAGCAGTGGCATCTAGTTGCTAGATGCTAACAGAAGGAAACAAATATAGATGATTATATTGAAAAGATATCGAAAATCTTTACTAATCTTTTGACGTTTCGGGACCGAATCTGCTCCCGTTCTCAACATGAAAATGTAGAACATTTCTCTTTGGAATTTGTGCTGCTTATAGTTTGACAGTTTTCAGTGTCATACTGATGTTGGCATATGAAGGAATTATTTTAGTCTACAAATGAGTTACAGGATGTTTTCATTAATAGATCTTGAATCTACCATTTTCATGTTCAGTTCTCAGTAGTGAATACCATGTTCTATCCATATCAACTGAACAAGAAACAATGCTTTTGTCTCCGTTCAGGAGAATAAATGCAAGCGGATTCTTTGATTTTTCTTTTTTGGTTGTTATCTTCCTTTCCTATGATTTTGAAATGATTCCACTCTGCCATATGTTGTCCATCTTCAGTAAGGGTATGTTCAGTTAGCTTCGATTTATCGATATGTCTTTTCTTGATATTGTACTTGTGTTATTTAGTCCTTACTGAGAGAGGTCTTGTCGTTTCACCTGTATAATACTTTCCACAAAGTATACTATAAATACAATTTTTTGATGATTGTTCTTCATTTTTTGACTTTTCGAGTTAGAATGGATCTCATTGTATTTTCAGTTGTCTCTTCAGAATCTGAAGTTGAATGTAAATGTAGTTTCAACTACAAACGTCGAAAAAAGTCTATTTTAATTTCATGCTGAGTGCCCCAAGGAGGAGAACAAATTTCGGTTTTTGTTGTTGCTACGGTGACGATAAAATTGGTTCAAAATGCGTTAGGTGTGAAATTTTCAGTAATTTAACAGCCAGTATATTGATGAAATAAACCTCTGATGCGTTCACTCTTCATTTGTTTCGTCAGACTGGTTCTTGATATCGAAGTTGGCGAAAATCAAGGAATTGTAAAACAGGAAAGGCCAGTATCTTTCAATTTTCATTTAAGATTTCTAAACGAATATGTAATCTTTTCAGGGATTTACCATTGTTGAATGTGAAATGCTTCGAACACCAGAAACATTGTATTTCAGGTGATGACAAAAAAATTAATGGATTTGTAGTTATGTTAACAGGAAGATTCATGAGTAAGTTTGGAGTTACATAAATATTGATGGAGTTCCCGAAATTATTAATTGACACTTCAATAATAATAATTGCAGCAACTTTAGTACGGGGACTATTTGACAGGGCACACAAATCATAGAGAGGTGGGATAGCATATACTTTTTCATTGGTAATGTGTAGTTAGTGAGAAAGGACAATGTTATATGTTGAATTGAAATCGTTTTTTGTTTGTACTCACTTTTTCTCCACTATCGGATGGAAGATAGAAAACCAGCACGGTGAGAAAGGAAATTCCCATGCACGGGATGATGAGGTTAACTGTGTAGAAGAGGGTTTTCCTCCTCATCGTTATGTTGAATGTTATGTCGAGGTACGGTTCATCACAGCACGTATAAAACTTTTCATTCCTAAAAATCATCATAATTCATCCAAAACTCAGGAAAATACAGGGTGATTCAAAATCCGATGTAAATATATTGAGGATGTTTTGTTATTGAAATCGAAATAAGGCTTTTCCTTCATGTAAATATGTGTCCTAAAATGAACCCCCTTCTAGTTGCAGCCACTGTAATTTGGGTAGAGAAAATATAACCTGAAATTGTGATCATAATAAAGCATCAAGTGCAAGTATTCCATTATTATACGCCTCTGGAATAGCAGTCTCAAATGCGTTTCTACAAACGATCACCTCCGTATGCAAGCGTTTAATGCCGGATGTGTGAAATGACAGGCTGGTGTCCTCAAATGAGAGCCATGGCTTACTTTCGATACAGTGAGTAGATAAAAGTGTGAACTCCAACTCCCATAAAAGTGGGTTTACATAATTTTTGAAGCAAGAAGGAAATGAAGTACCTAAAAAGATAGGAGCATGCGAATTTTCAGAAGATTTGATCCCTTATTTCAGTCACATTTTCAGATAACCTTTTTTTTTCCTTACTAACAGTGGGTGCAGCTCGGAGGGGGGAAATTTAAGGACACATGTTCATATGAAGAAAAAGTATTTAAAATATTCACATCTTAATTTGAATCACCTTATATAATCAATCTATCATAATGATTATTCATATAGTAATACATTGGTTTACAATATGTAAATCAGTATACGGAAAACTATTTCGTAGGTTGTCTTCACCAAAGTTGTTGGAAAATTGAAAAATCGAAAATATGTAACAAATAATATCATATTCTTGACAGCAAGAATGATATAGTGATCCTGTGGATGTTTTTCTTCAGTTTTTGATTCCTGCTCAGATTCACTTTCCCAATGAAGTATTACATTTGACTATAGATTTTTGTATACCTCTTTGTATTATACAATCAACAGTATACAGGAATTATCACTCGAAATTTCAAAGTAAAGGCTGTGAAATTTTGTGTAACTTTGGTTTTGATTAAACTTCAACATAGCTGTCTTTGATGGAGTTTCTATTGAAAATTCCGTAGCTTACTGCAATTCTCCTTCCTACTTTTTGAGTGATGTTTGCTCGATCATTTTTGAAGAGACATGAGTTGAATCTAAATAATGCTGATTAAATGTCAACAAGGTATTATTTGAAAAGGGATATTTCTTGAGAGCTTTTTCTCTATCAGCTTAACTCAGAATGTGGAAAAATCACTTATAAATCGTGTATTTTTCAACCTCAAATATAAACTGATTTGTTGTAACTAGAAAAGTATTGAAATAATACTTATTTTCATAAAAGAGGAGGGAAAATGACGAAAAAACAAGAGAAATGAATTGGAGCTGTTCCACGTACCTGATTGCAGGAACTTCTAGTATATCCCACTCAACTGAAGTATAAAATTCTGTCAAATCGATGCCTATATCGACTACGTTTGATCCCTTCATCTCGTCCAAATGACGAAGGTCTACCTACAATGAAATTGACATGCAGTAGGTATTTCTTTTGTAGAAGTGATTTATGAAGTGAGGATCAACACACACACACATAGACATTCATATCACCTCCACATTTTTATTTTTTTCATCTCTTGAAGCGCACGAAAGGGAATTCCTATAATGTTCGTGCTGATATTTTCAATTTCGAAACTTGTCAGGTATCAGTAGATATAGGTTTTCATCGTCTTCATTGGAAGTTGTGAAACAATCTGATGAAAACATTACGATTCACCGACTCGTGGAATTTTGTTTCGAGAGGTTTTTGTGCATTTTTCTGTTTTCGCTCTCGAATATGGAAATAATGAGTCTTATTTGATTGTTTCGGTTTTATAAGAACCATAATGGATAATAGCTTAACAAATTGAGGATGTTCAATGAAATAAGAACCCGCAATTAGCACTTTTTATTCGATCATCGTCAACATGAATCCTCCTGATTGGTCAGTATGTATACAGGGTGTCCCGAAATTAGCCTGACAAACTTCACCTGCGGCTTCTACGACAAGAAATAGGAAGACAAGTTTCAATGAACATGATTCGATGAATGTCTCCTAATGGTGCTACGGCTCCCTGAGAGGGGACTCCTGAATATGATATTTCTTATTTTATTTTCGATATTCCATGTAAAAGATCTAAACTTCACATACCCAATACATCGAAAATAGAATCATTACAAATTTCATTCAGGAACGTATGATATTGCTGAAACTTTTGTAGAACGGTGAAGATTTTCATAATCCGAAATTAAATTGTCGAAAAATATTCATGTAAAAAAGTTTCAGCAATATTTAAACACCCTGAGTGTTTACTCCTGAATGAAATTTGGGAATGATTTATCCTCACTCCATTGGGCATGGGGAGTTTAGTTCTTGTACCGAATTGCACCATTTTATGCCATGGACTCATGTTCATCGAAATTTCTCCCCATTCTTCGTCGTCGAATCGGATAATTTCGGGACACCCTGTATATAAATGATTATTTTCTTCGTATGATTTTGAACCAATCAGAACGTTCAATCGAGTTGAACCACCTTGTATAATTCCGAATATACGTGGATATACATAGAGTAACTCCACCAATCATAAATTTAGAATTATTTTCACAGTAATCAATTTATATTGTTACATACAAACAAAGGGCGTCGTGAAATGTTGACGCTCGTTCTGAACTACTCAAAAAATAATCGCATGGAATACTTTAATCCGAACTTCAAACCATTTATGGTTATACATCTCAAAATTATTACAAATCGTATCAGATAAACATGATCATCCTCCCGTTTCGCGGTCAGATTATTTCAACTGTCAATCTGACGTTCTTTGTGATTATTCAACAAGTTTTCGGTATACAACCCAAATATTCCGATGTACTCATAGAATTACTACTGATAATAATAATAATAATAATATTTATTGATCCTGTAGGACATTACCATACTGGATTTGAATCAAACAACATGATATATGTCTGTGTCCTTGAAGTACTACTGAGTACTGTAGTAACATTTTCCGAACAGCAGTTCTTTTATAGATTTTTTGAAGAGGTTAGCATTGAGTAGTTTGTTGTCAGTGGCAAGATAACTTTGTTTCCCATACATAAAATGTAATTCTGAAATTGTTTGGTGTTGTGTTCGGGGATAGATAAGAAGTCAGAATGTCTGGTTTCGTAATTATGTGATAATGACTTCTTGATATACATACAGTAAGCTTCTGTATATGTAGATGCATAGAAAAGACATGAGGTTATGTTTGATAAAGACCTGCTTGCAAGAATCATGAGGATGCATGTGAAAAGTGCATTATGTGATCAGTCCACCTCAGATTGTGATCAACATAGTATCCTAGGATTTTTGTACATACAAGTTGTTGATGTTATTTAGGTGTCTCCAAAATTGATAAATAGCAATTCATTACTTCGAGCATTGTGTGAATGGAAGTATATGCATTCAGATTTCCTCAAGTTCAGAATAGATCCCTTTTTGTTACAACAGCTGCAAATCTTCTGAATGACGTCCTCAACTAATCCTTGAAGCTCCTTATGGGATCCTGCTGGAACCGCTATAGATGTGTCGTCAGCAAATAGTGTAAGTACATTCGAAGTCAAGTGCTGTGGTGTGGTGAGTCGTTGATAAAGAGCAGGAAAATTAACGGTCCCAGCACGGATCCCTGGGGAACTCCAGTTTCTACTCTGTGTGATTCCGAGTATTTATCGAATATTTTCAATAACATTTTTCGTCCTGTGAGATAGTTAATCATTCAATCTAAGAATATACCCCTAAATCCCATAATTATGTGAGTACTATACTACTACTACTAAACTGAGTACTGTAGTTCATGAAAATCGGTTGGAACAAATCATCGATCAGATCAGATTAAGGAGCAGGTTAGCAATTATAAGGGGTCTAATATGGATAATGAACATCGAGAAGACCGTTTCTCAATATCTTGTATCATCATGTTATTCTGCGTTTGAGCTTTTTTCCTATAATGAGTTTCTCATCTTTTTTGCTTCGTGCCATTATATGTTGGTATCGATTCGTCTTTCATAAACCTTCTAATAACGTGGGAACAGTTTTTTTATAAATAATCAGCGTTCACAGAAATCTAGAGGAAACTCACAAAAAAACATTTAATTCTAGAAAAAAATTCATCGGAGAGAAATTCTGAAGACTTCCCGAGTCCTGCATGACGTATCGTAATGTGACTGGCTTTTTATCAGAAGAATGAGCAACGCAGCATTGATAGACCATATCATGTTAGTTTCTTTCTGTTGATTTTCTGTCATTGATGGAGCTATCTTTGAAGTGGATAAAATATCACTTCTGATAACCCAAAACTGCAAGTAAATCGATCAATTACTTCGGGAATTGAAGTTTGTCGATGAAGAGTCAGATTCTGAGTATAGTGCACTTATAATATATTGAGAACTGTTTACGACGTGTCATTAAATTTGTACTTTTGCCTGAATTTTATGCACTGAAGTCACCATTCGTGGAATTTATCCCGTTATGATAAATGAAAAGCCATATTCTGAGTGATATATCATGAGCAATGAAATCAAACAATATGTATAGTATCAATATAATTCATGTCCAAGATATATTCAGGTTGAATAATACTCAATTAACTTTGTTTAATTACACAAAATAATGAAAAATAATTCGAAAGTATTCAATTCCTCAGTTTCTGAAGAATTCATTCAACTGTAGTTGGCAGACATATTTTCTCACAAAGAACTCGAAGTACTATTCAGTATGAATAAAATTCGCTCACGTGATATTATTAGGTCGAATAAAATATGATTAAATGGCTTCAGTTGAATGAAATACTGAAAAATAAGTTTTTTACAAATTCATCGAGTTGAAGTTGATAAATAAAAATTTCCTCACAAGAAACTTATCAACTTTGAGAATGAATACTACATATACAAGGTGTTTCTAAGTACGTGTAAGAATTTCAAAAGCATATTGCTGACGTCAAAATAAGAAAAAAAGTTTGAACTAAAACATATAATATGTCCGCAAGATATTCATTTCTGTCAAAGCTTGTTTTTTTCCGGTTTTTGTGAATGAATTCAAGAATAAACGTGATATTCGAGTGAAATTTGGTATCTCACGCAAATATTGAGATTGATTTGGAAGTTATTCACATATAACCGGGATAAAAAAGAAAATTTTACACTCTGTATCTCAGAAACGAATAACTTGCGGATATATATGTATATGCGAAATTTCCTTATTTTACGAATCAGGAACTAAACTTTCTACACGTACTCAAGAAACACCCTGTATATAGTCTGAAGTTGAATGTTAATGCAATTTCACCCATGAACATCACAAAATGTCCAATGTAATTTCATGCTCTTCTCCCCAAATAGGAGGAAAAAATTTCCAGAAATTTCAACAGGAGAAAGAAACGAAGTTGAAGTCGGTCGACCACAATATTTAATATAAAAATAACCAGCGTCGTGTGACTATAGTTTCGGCTTTACGGCTATCTTCAGACACAATGAAAAGGGTATATACCTAGAAAATTAGTAGTATAGATATAAAACAAAATGATAGCTGAGAAAAAGTCGACATACCTCTTATGTAGAAAACATCTTAACAATATGAAAAATTAATTTTCCGGTCGTTATAACAAAGGATAACGACTAATAACCCAGAAGAACTTGACTACAAGTAAGTTCAGCATCGAGAAAAAATGGAAATATTTATTCTTTGAAATATACTCAAATGAGCTTCATCTAACTGCAGTCGAGCCATCGAAAGGAAAGACGCAGAAATGTAATAATTGAAAGTGGTGAATGAAAACATTTCTGAATGACAATCAATCATATGAAAATTGGGGCTCGACACCCAAAAGAGAACTAATGATGAAAAATCAGAAATTATATAACTTCAAGCCGAAACTATAGTCACACGCTGATTATTTCTATATTACCTACATATAATCTGGTTTAAGAAAACTACATAGCACGACAACTGCTCTGATAAAGATCACAAATGACATCACACGTAATATTGACAGCTCTAAGGTTACATATCTTGCAATTCTCCTGCATCAGCTCCTGATAACCAAGCTCAAGTATTATAGCTTATCTGGTGACGTACTGAACTGGTTCATCGATTATTTAAGTGATCGAGCACAGTGCGTGAAAGTCGATTCGTCCATATCGTCATTTCGGAATGTTAATACTTGCGGTGTGCCACAAGGGAGTGATTTAGGTCCACTGCTATTCTCTATTTTCACAGCAGTCCTCCTACGGAACGTCCTACCTAATTGGAACCTACATCTCTATGCTGATGATGTGCAAATCTATGGCTCGTGTGACCCTCATAGAGTTGATGAGCTCATTGGTGACCTGAATATGAATCTGTGCAATATCAGAGAATCGTCTGTTAATCACGGCTTGAAATTGAATCCGTCAAAGACTATTGTGATGTGTGTAGGTACTAAGAGTTTGATATCTAG